GGGGGGGGGTCAGCAGGACAAAGGTTAAAAGGGCAGTGTGCTGAGATGCCTGGGAGAAACTGCGCAGGGCATCCTGAGGGCGAGGGGCTAAGGTGGGCTAGGGGGAAAACAAGGAGGATTCAGTGGGGTTTTGGAGAGGGACCAGTTGTTCTGGGGCTGGTAGAGCTCAGGGGAGGGACGCTTCAGAGTCAGCAGTGGATGAGACGACTGGAGAAGGGGGAAGGGCTGTGAGAGTGAGGTTTGTCATTTTTAAGCAATTGTCCAGAGCGTCCCTAACCAACGGTTCCCAACAAAACACCCCCATGATGAGCTGTGGATTAGATTGTGCTCAATAGCATTTTCAGTGACTAATATTGGGAAGTAAATCACCAGCTCCTTCTTCCTAGTCTGGAAGCTCCGCTATTGTCTGCTCAGTAGCTCAGCAGCACATGAGCCTCCACAGACAGAGAGGTGGTAGCTGTGCTTGGTGTGTATTGGCTGGGAATTGAACTTGGGTTTCCCCTGTGGAAGGCAAGCATTGCACCACTGAGTCACCAGTGTCTTGAGGAGCAGGTTTAGAAGGTTAATAAAATCTAACGCTTTATGGAGTGCTCACCACAGACTAGGCACTGTTCTGCAGATGCTTAACAGCTATTAGTGCATCTAGTCCTCTTGACAACTCCATGAAGACTTCTGACTTTCATTAATGGATGTTTGCTGCTGTTTCTTTTCATTTAGAGTTGAGCCCCATCAAGCAAGCAGAGGTCCTGAAAGCTTTGTTCTATCCACTCTACTTTGAGAAGGCAGCTCTTTCTCGGTCATATTTTGAGTGCCTTCCAACCTAAGGGACTCATCTTCAGACACTATATCAGATAATGTACCACTGTTATTCATAAGATTTCCAGTGGCTAACCTTCCAGACGTGGCCCACCTACCCCTTCTTCCTCATCTATCTTAGTCTGGAAGCTCGGCTGAAACATGTCCATCATGGGAGACCCTGCTGATAATACAGATGACATAGCTTCCAGCATCACAGCAACACCCAAGCTATCACAGTTATGACAAAGTGACAGACAAGTGGTAGCCATGCAGACTACACGTCCATTTTACAGGAGAGGCCACTGTGGCTCTCAGATTGACCCACACACTAGTAGATGGGAGACTCAGGACCTGGATCCTGGCAGTGAGGTTGCAGGGCTCTGCTGGGTGTTGAGTTTGAGTTATGTGGTGAGTGGAAGTTTTGAGTATAATAAAATACTTTCTTCTCATTGAAACACCCTGGTAAGCTGGGTGGGGAAGGCAAGATGGAGTTAACCTTTCTCTTCAGACTCCAGGTTCCGCACCTTTGCGTGTCACCTCTCCCAACCTCTTCTGGTACAGGGACCACCTTGGCTGCACCCACTACCAGGGTACTACTGCCCGGACCCCTCCTAAGATCCTGAGACCCACACTCTTGTCCATCCCTCCCCCCCTCATCCGGCATCCCAGGTCTCAGGTCTCCCAGGGTGTTCTCACTCGCTGGGCTCAGTCCCGCTCGCACGCCCCCACCTCATTCCCTGGAGGTCATCAGGGGTCATGCTGCCTCCTCCCCTGCCCCGCAGAGGTACTGATGTTCGAGACGGAGGACTTGGTACTACGCAAGAACGTGAAGAACGTGGTGCTGTGCTTGCTGGAGCTGGGCCGTCGGGCCTGGCGCTTCGGCGTCGCGGCGCCCACCTTGGTACAGTTGGAGGAGGAGATCGACGAGGAGCTGCGGCAGGAGCTGGCGCTGCCCCCACCGGACCCGCCGCCGCCCAAGCCGCCCGTGCGCCGGGCCTGCCACTTCCACAACCTGGACCAGATGGTGAGCCACATGCCCTCTTCTTGAGCGCAGTTCCGGCCCTAATATGAATTCGGTGTGTGGCTTTAAGGTGCCACAACCTCAATCACGGGTAGTCATGACTTTGCCGCCTTCCGCGTTGTTAATACAACCCCCCATATAATCCACACAAGCTCTGTGCAAAACAGGCTCTGGAGTCCTGGGTCAAGTCTTAGTTCCACTGCTTTACAGCTGTGACGTGGAGCAAATTGTTTAACCTTTCTGTGCCTCAGTTTCCTCATCCGTAAGGTGGGAATGGTGGTAGCACCAACCCTCTGTAGCTGCTGTAAATATTCAATGAGTCAATGAATCTGAGGGCTTCAACAATGTCTGCCACGGAGGCCGGGCTTCATTGAACCCATTTACACTACTGAGGAACCGGAAGCTTAGGGTAGTGTCTTAACCTGCCCAAGGCATATGATGCAGTAAGGTAAGCCGCCAACCCAGCAAGCCTTTCAGCTTGCACGTACGTGGTGCACCTTTTTCCTTAACCACTCCACGGCTTCCTTTAGCTGATCTGTCCATGAGGATGCTGGGACCTAGCCAACACAATGAAAGGCCTGATTCTCCCTGGAACTTTGGAAGTCTTCTCTCCCACCCTCGTTCTAAATCTCTAGCACCGACCTTAAGAGAAGCCTTGCGTGGGATGGGCAGTCCCCCTTGTTGTATGAGCAGTGTGGGGAGGAACCTGGAGGCTGGGCAGAGGGGAGGCTGAGCCCTCTGCCTCCTCCCTGCAGGTACAGAGTCTCATGAGTCACTGCACATGCCCAGTTCAGTTTCCCATGGTCAAGGTGTCCGAGGGGAAATACCGTGTCGGGGACTCTAACACCCTCATCTTCATCCGGGTAAGTCCCAGGTTTGGGGGTGGAAGGGTTTCCATGTCAACAGAATAGGGGCCTTGTACAAGCCTGTAGGCAAGGACAGAAGTCACCATTCATCTTCAATTAGCAGGCCCTGAGAATCTCTTCTTCTAGGATAAATTTCAGGAAATAAATCCATCCCCTCCTCCAATCAGCCAGTCAGGACCACCACCTTAGCCTAATGGAGATGTCTCCAGGCAGAAGAGGGGCATAGAGCAGGGTACGTTCACTATTGCATTCCCCTACACCCCGCCCACGGAGTCCTGGTGTGGAACTATGGGTTGGAATCAACTCAACGGCACTTAACAACAACAAAACCCCCCACCCACAGGCTTGATCAGAGCAAAGTGCCTGAGAGCCCCAAGTTTGTCTTTAGCCATGCAGAAACCATAGCCCGCCTCTCACATGCCTGGCTTCGTGCATCCTGCAGAGCGCGAAGGAGAAGTACAGGTCTGCAGTGTGCCTCCCACTACCCAACCCCCAATACCAGCAGAGGGTCTGGTCTGTAGCCACAGGTGTGGCCAGCAGCTCAGAGGTGTGGCCAAACCAGCTCCCTGGGTCCTCCCCCATCCCTGGAACCAAAGTCCTGTGAAATAGGTAAAGGCAAGGAATTGTGGTCCTACACCCTAGAGGCAAACCCAGTGTTAGTTAGGGCCACTTCTAATAAAGCATGTGTTGACTGAGGCAAATGCCTTTACAAGGAAGGGGGAGAAGGCCAGTGCTCTGGGATCCAGTTACACAATGCTCGTGAGATCCCTTGCCTAGTTGTAGGGCAACTTTCTCTTTGTCACCTCTCCTCTACCCCTGACAACTTGTGTTATCCAATGCCAGATGTGGACAAGATGGAGCCTGTAAGACATGTGGCTTCTAAGCGATACCTGTGTACAAGGGGCAGTGGGCAGGTCAATGGATGGGACATCTCTTAGTGGGTATGAGAAGCCTGTCCTTAACCTCACCCTCACCTCCTGCAGATCCTCCGGAACCACGTGATGGTGCGTATAGGTGGTGGCTGGGACACACTCAGCCACTACCTGGACAAACATGACCCCTGCCGGTGCACATCCCTCTGTAAGTCTGAGATTTCCCTCCCTGTGGTTGGACAGGGGTAACTGGGTTGGTAGGGAAGTTGGAAAAAGCTGCTCTTTGGTAGGACATTGGTGAAACTTAACTCTAGAAGAGGTTTCTCCCAGGCAGTTGAAAAGGTGGGAAATAAGGGCAGGAAGTGTTTAAAGAGATGAATGCAGTAATATATACTGAAAGGCACAGGCCCGTGCGACAGCTGGGCTGTCATGGAGCAATTATAGACACAAGGTGGCGCCAAATATAGACACAAGGTGGCGCCAAATACATTCATTTGGTCCGGTTTTAGGGGTCCACTCCTGGAGTTGCTCTGTGTAAGATCAGCACTGGACTTCCAACCACAAGGTTGGCAGTTCAAACCCACCAGCCTCTCCTTGGAAACCCTATACAGGTTCACTATGAGTTAGAAACGACTCCAAAGCACTTAGCAACAACATGGTGGCCCCAAGCCTGGCTTGGAGGGATCTTTAGTTCTTGTATAATCTCCATCAGCATCTCATGCCACCCCAAAGAATCTTGCAATCTAAGTGAAAGTAGTAGATCTGTAATATAAACTCAGCTTTAAAACAAGTCCTCAAGTCTGACCATGTGACCACATGATCCTTAAGCTACTCCTATAGGAAATTTTGACACTGCCACTGTAGGTCCTATTTTATTTAATGGGGGACAAAGGGGATGGTATGTCAAGGGAAAGGGCAATGGGGCATATCTACAGGATATTAACCCTCCCTCCTCTTCTCTCTCTGGGGGACTGTGTTGGTAGCACACAAGCCAGGAAGCTTCCCGAAGTCCCCAGCCCCACCGGTGCAACACGAAGTGAGGGTGCAGGATGGGCCCTCGCAGCTCCAGCCCACGATGACCATCAGTCGCTCCCAGAGCCCACTGCCCCCTGTGGACTGGAAGACATATACCTCTTCAGGCCGAAAGCTGACGCTACCTACTTCTTCTTCCCCCAGCCCCTGTAATGAACGGGGAGCAGGGATGGGGGTCCTCAGAGATACGGCAACACCCTTGAGGTACAGGGAGGGATAGGGCAGGGCATTTTCATAGGCCATGCACCCCACCTCACAATAAAAGGGAGTAGGACTCACAGCAGGGATCCCCACTACAAGACTTCAGGGATTCAAACCAAAAAGGCACCAGTTCCTTTGCGATCACTTAGTTACTTCATATCCCCTCCCACTGCACATGGGAAGAGGTTGGGACCCAGAAAAGGGCCAGGACTTACCTAAGACCATTCTGCCATTTTGTAGTACAGCAGAGACTGAAAGACACTCCTTCCCCCAGGGCTGGTAGCCTCTGGTTGTGGGATCTGCAGCTACCCTGGGCCTGGACCAGGCTTCCTTCTCTGTGCTACTCAGGGAGCTGACATAAAGAATGCTCAGGCAGTGATGGGTGGAGAGGGGGCACCTCCTTCAGTAGAAGTGAAAGCTAGGATTTCACCTTTGGTGTTCTCGTTGGGGAGAAGACCATCCCTTCCCAGTGCAGGGGACTGGACTAGGTGACCCTGTTGGCCTTATAATTCTCCCTTTCAGGTGCCAGGAGAGGCTGCTCACCCCATCTCGGAGGCAGCTGCCAGCTGAGGACAATCCACCCAGCCTCCAGTCCTCATCCACCCACAGGGGCCAAGACGCGCAGTTCAGCTCCTTGGGGAGGAGGGAGGACAGGCACCTTTCTGAGTTCCAAAGAGGGAGAACTCGTATCTCTTGGGCCCATGAAGAGATAAACAGTCAGGGAACCCGTGGCAGGACTCCCACCCCCCGGAGACTCCAATCCCCTGAAGTGACCACCAAAGGGACACCAGCAAGAGGACCATCTCCCCTGCCTCGTTCTTCCAGCCCAATCAAGACCCTGAGCATCAAGCAGCCACCTCAGGGTGAGGCTCCGGGGGCTTCCCTCCAGTACAGGGAATCAGGAACCATCTGTTCTCCATCCCCTGATAGAGGGTCCACCAAGATCCCCATCCAGTGGCTCTCTTCCTGTCCTCCCACTCCAGGAAGCAGCTTTCCAGGTGCTGCAAGTGCAGTCCCCATGACAGAACTGGAGGGAGGTCCCAGCCTACTGAGGGCCTTGGCTGGGGACAGACACCTGACTGGGTCTAGACATGGGGACTACTCTGTGAAGTGGGAACAAAGGGACCAGAAGTTAGACACCCGAGTTACATCAGAAGCAGGAGAGCCCCGGGGACGGAGTCCTTGGGAGTGGGAAGGAGGGAACACGCTTCAGCCCCTGTACAGGACCAAGGAACAAGCCATCAACCATAGCCCTGAAGAGATTTTGGCCAACATGAAGCTGTTGGACTCAGGGGGTGCTGGTGGTCCCCGGGGCACTGGGCCTGGGGCTATCCCTCGTAGTGGAGTTTATGTCCCCAGCCTGGGTGGACGCTGGCCAGAGCCTGGGGGCCCTTATGACAAAGTCATTCAAGAATTGGCACAGGGTCCCCTACCCCTCCTTAAAGTAGACCTGGGAGCCTGGGGGGCATCCCCTACAGGATCTCGTAAGCCAAATGTTACTCTAAACTCAGGAAGCCCAAAAGGGGAGCTGGGAGTCAAAGAGGGTGGGCCAAGGCCTAAAACAACCCTGAGTGATGAAGGCACTTTGATAGGGACTGTGCCACCTCAAGGACAGGACTGTCCATCCCATACTCGATCTACCAGCCTGGAGGTCCCCAAACCTTTGCCCTTAGACCCCAATTCTGACAAAGCTAAGGCATGTGCAAGCAAGGGCAAGAGAACACTCCGGAAGCCTCAGAGAGTCCCGTCTATCTATAAGCTGAAGCTGAGGCCCAGAATTCGACCCCGGAGGGATCACAGGCCTGAGAAGCAGCCTTCACGAATCCCCAAGCCGCTGGCCTACCTCCACCTGGGTCCAGCCAGGACACCCACTAGGTGCAGGCTGTCAAGGGCAACACTGGGCAGCAAAGGAGAGGAGGCATCCCCGGTGGATGGGGCCTTTGAGGGGGAAAAGGAAGCTGAAGGAAAGGAAAAGCAAGAATCCATCACTGTTTTGGAGAGCAGCCCTCGATCTCCTGAGGACCTGAGATCTCAGCAGCTTGACCAAACCGCACACCCACCTGAGGAGGAGACCTGGGTCTAAGGAGAGACTTTCTCATCCCCAAGCTGTGGACGTGAAGGTCAAATGAAATACAAAGGATGCTCACATCAGATTCCCAGCTGCAGGGACAGGAAGGCCCCTTACTTACATACAGCGCTTTGGCTAGGAAGGGGATGGAAGCCAAATACAGACTCAATCTGTTCAGATGAACAAAGGAGAAAACCATCACCCCATCCCAACTCCTTAGGTGAGAGGTGGTAGGGTCGTCTGTGGTCTTTTCTTACTTCCTCCACCAAGGCAGCTCCCCAACCTCCTGTCTCTTGGCCTTTGGCCATACCTAACTCAGTTTCCATGACTCATACAAGTTATTTAAAATATGTGGGTCTCATTAGCCCCCACCTTCTTGAGTCCTGTACTCTAAGATGTGGTCATGCAGGAAGGTGTCACTTCAGATGTTGTCACCACATTAGAGGGAAAGGAAGTGAAGGTGAGGAGGTTGGAGGTGGGGAGCCCCTCTTCTCTCATCACTCAGCCAACCTTGGGAGACAAACCATCTTTCCTAGAAGTGGCTGGTATGTCAGCCCATGAAAGGGGCAAGGATGGCCCCACCACACAGTCCTGCAGCCCATCCCCACCCAGCACTTCACAACTTTGCTCTTGGTTTGGGGACCACTCAGAATCAAGATAAATAAATGGGGACGAGCATTCTTAACATTCACATCCATGACGTTAGAACCAAGAGACTCAAAGGCTCAGCCATGAGTAGAAAGGAGAAGGCAGGGAAACTCAGACAGATTCAGTTGTGAAAGCTTTCCAGAGAAAGTGACCGGGAGAAGGTAGCCCCCTTTCTCCTCCACCCCCCATGGTTTAATTAATGGGAGGAGGTTAAGTCCTGAGACAGATTCTTCCCCATAGTTCTCTGGATGACCTGGGCTTTAGGACTCAGTACCTTATCCTCCTCCCCTCCTTCTACAGGAGGGCTTAGCCAGCAGACCCTGGGGTCCCCACCCCCATCAGGAACAGAGCTGACACTTTAGTACAGAAACAAGGGAAACACTCCCTGATTTTTAATCTGACTTCCAACAACAGCGCGATGGGTGCCACACACACTTCCAGACCCTGTGGTGGGAAACCCCGGGGGATGGGGGGCAGGGGGGAAGGACAGAGACTCAGAATGGGGGTGGAGGGAATCTGAAATCAAAGACCTGGGGTGAAGCGGAGGAGGTGTGGGGGCCGGGCAGGCAATACATTCCAGTGGCTCCCACAGGGGCAGCCAGAGGCCTGGGTCCCCTACTCCCCCTCAGGTGCCTCAGAGCTGAGGGTGACAGGGCAGGCAGCAAGAAGCTGCCATACTTCACCTGGTCCCCAAGTGAACCAAGGGATGGGAGTGCAGAGGACGAAATGGGGCAGGCCCTCTTCTTTACCCTCCCAGCCACTCAGGTGTGGGGAAGGGGAGCCGTCGCCTGTGTTTCAGAAGGAGGCTCCAAGAGGGCAGGTTACTTGCCCAAAGTCATACAGCACAGCAGAGACTAGGACCTGGGGGCTCTGGGCTGTACTTCTCCCATGGGTGAGGAAATAGGGATCAACTAGGGAACAGAAAAGATTTCCTCCCACACTGGATCTGAGCTACATTCCCCACGCATGACTCCCTCACCAGACTCCTCTCCATTACCACACAGGGCTACCCGATTTCCTGGTCCGTGTGCCGCAGTCCCAGCCAAGTGGCAGCTGAGCTGTTCTATCTGCTCCTCTAACACGGGAATTTGCTGTCCTCCCGCCAAACCAGGGAACAGGGCACTACTTTTCCCTCCCTCCAAGCACCCCCCCTATCCCCAGCACTCCCTCAGGCCGTTCATAGCATCCTCCTCATTATAATTATTTCTAAATCGGTACAAAACTGACAGTGATCAGCTCCGGTGACGAGAGGTAGAAACCCGGCCAGGCAGCCGGTGAAAATGGGGCGGAGTGAGTCAGGGCATACGGCCAACCGATGTTGGGACTAGCGGTGTCAGATCCTAGATAGGAGGGCGAGGCCTGAGGGCCTCCAACCACAAGTGGGCGTGTGGGCGTTATCTCCCCAAAGCACAGGGCTCCCTCAAATTCTTTTCCTGGCTTTGTTCCTCTGTAGATTATCAGGGCCATCTGAGATTTGAGACTGTCAGATTGGAGTGGGATGGAGAAATAGAATCTTCACAGGCACAATTTGATCCCCCTCCCCTGGGCACCACCCTTTCCCCAACATCCCCCAATCTGGATGACCACTCAAAGCAGGAGAGAATAGTGGGCACTATGGGAAGAAATCTATCCTTTGGGAGATTTCCTCTTTACACTCTATCAATAAAATAAAGTTTTCGCCCAGGGGTGATCTGGCTTTGGGGGCAGGAAAGGGGAGAGGGGCACCCGGCAGGAGCGGACCATCAGTTAAGGCTGGAAGGTAGGTTGTTGTGTCTCTGGGGGCTGCTGGACGGGAGGTCTCCCTGGATGGGGGAAGAGCTCAGCTTTCTCCCCCTGACTGGCCTGGGGACCTCAACCCTCCGACCCCTTGATTGTGGTCCCTGGGCCATGAGCATCTCTCTGCCCTTTACCAGTGGTGCTGACCATCAGGTGGCCTGACCTCCCAAAGAAGCTGCCAGGATCTGCGACAGGGGGGGTGGACGAAATGAGGGCCCTGGTCGCAGAGCTGGGGGTGGGGAAGGGAGCTGGAGGGTAGACAAGACACCTAAGGACCAAGACATTCGGGTAGACAGACAAGGGAAAGGAAGACATGAGGACAGGCAAACATACTCTGGAGAAGACAGGTGGGGGCCCAGCCCAGGCAGCACCTCCCCACGCCCACCCTTCATTTCACACACTCACCCCCATCCCAAAGGGCTGAGGTGCCCCTTGGAGCAGGGCTGAGAGCTGCCCTAACTGCAGCAATGAGGCAGCTGTCCCAGGAAGACGAATGAGGGAGAGGAGAGAACAGGGCAGTTACTGGGGGGCTCCCTCTTACCCCTCTGCCTCTCACGGGGAGGTGCGTGGCTATTGGGGGGGTTTCAGGCTGTGACCATCAGAGTTCTCATCTGCCCCCTCCCCGCTTCAGCCCCGCAGTCCTGTCAGCAGCTGGCCCCAAGATGGCCCTGCCCTCCACTGGGTGGGGCGGTTGCAGCGTCACATGATGGCGCAGCGGTTGCGGCGCAGCGCGCCCTGGAAGCGCAGGGCGGCGTGAACGTGTTTGCAGCGCGCGCATCCGACGCTCTTGAGCAACTCGCTGAAGAGCAGCAAGATGTGCCAGTTGTACTTGGCCGAGCACTCCACGTAGCCGCACTTCCAGGTCTTGCGAACCAGGTGCGACACGTTCCAGCGCGGGATCACGCGTCCACGCTGCAGGTCCCGCTTGTTGCCCACGATGATGATGGGCGTCTCCGAGGTGCCGATCACCCTGAGAGTTGGGAGGGGAATCTTGGAACCCCACCACACAACCACAGTCTCACAACCACAGTACCCCAAAAGGGCGGGAAGCCCTTGAGATACCTCATCTTCTCTGACCCAACGGATTCAAAGTGTGGGTGCTACTATTACTCCCATTTGACAGGTGAGAAAACTGAGGTTTAAATGCTATATGGCCTAAAGTGATATAGCTAAGTTGTTCTTTAACAACTGCCCGAATCTCCCCATGGGCAGAGTCCAAAATAAGTTAAGAAAGACAAGGACAAGAAAACGTTGTGAATGTATGTATATGTATATGGAACCAAAGGGCACAAATATTTCAACTGTGTCCTCCCACTGCCCCTTTCTCCTGGGGACTGGCTAGCACTGAGACATCCACAAAGGTGGTGATGGGCTGTGTCTTAGCACCTTACCTCGTCTCCAGGATCTGCTGGCGGATGGTCTTGACGTACTCAAAGCTGTCAAAGCAGCAGATGTCGTAGACCAATATGTAGGCGTGGACACTGCGGAGTCCCCTGCAGCAGGCATCTGCCCACTCCTGCAACAACCCCCATCCCCCAAGACCAGGGTCAGAGCAGCCATGAGGGCTCCCCTTCCCTTCAGCTACCTCCAGCCAGACTGGCAGCATTGTGACCTGCCTGCTACTGCAACCCAAGCCTTCTGCACTCCCACCCATTCCCAGGAGGCCAGATCTAGGATACTACAGCTTGCTCACCTTCAATCCAGGATAGGCCAGAGCCTTCCTCATTTGAACTGCTCCTTCCTATCCCCTCAATCCTGATGTGGCACTGTAGGCTAAGCACTGGACCGTAAAGTCGATTTGAACAGCAAAGTGGTGGTTCAAACCAAACAACTGTTGCTCAGAAACCCTATACAGGGATGCTATGAGTTGGAACTGACTGGATAGCACTTAACAATAACAACATCCCCCTCAGTGCCCTAGAACTTTGTTAGCAAAGAGTTAGTAGATATTCCTTAATCCAATCTCTGGGTCTGCCCACTAGCTGGAGTGATTAGCTCTCCATGGTCCTGAAGTCCTTTGTTCTCAGGCTAGGATCAATGTAACTCCTACTTCTAACCCTTAAGTGGCTCTGAGGTTCCGTTTCACCAGCAGCATGCTCCACCTTGTCCTCAAGATTGAAAAGAATGGGCTTGAGGAAAAGAAGAGTGAGAGGATGCAAAAACAGGGGCAGATGTAGAGCAGGACCCTAGGGTAGCTTCAAGGGATGGAATTTCCCAAATGCTGTGGCAATTTCTCAGGGAGCGGGTGCAGCTCAAGAAAAATCATAAATAAACCGGTTGCACTCTGGTAGATTCAGGCTCATAGTGACCTATGGGACAGAGCAGAAATGCCCCATAGGGTTTCCAAGGCTGTAAATCACTAATGGAACACACTGTCACATCTTTCTCCTGTGGAGCAGCCGGTGTGTTCAAACTAGTGACCTTCCAATGAGCAGCCCAAGAGTTAACCACTGGGTCACCAGAGCTCCTTTCAACATGAATGCTGGTGGTGGTGGTGTGCCATTGAGTTGGTTCTGACTCATAGTAACCCCGTATAGAGTTTGTGAGGCTGTAAACCTTTACGGGAGAAGAAAGCCTCCTCTTTCTCCTGT